ATTTTATTTCGTTAGAATTAAATTCATGGTAACGAAATAAAATGACAAAGATACAAAAATGTATCAAATAAATCTGCTCACCTGCAATTTATAATGGCGCATTGTAGTCACCTTTGTCGTGCACGAAAGTTCGTTCAATCTCAGCTGTTCGTCAGTTATTAGTTAGTCAGTTATGTCAGTTATTTGCTGTTGTATCGCCGATTTTCAAAATCCAAATGATCTGTTTACTTTATTTTCAAAGAATAGTTTGTTTTGTTATTGTTTGGTTGGTGTCTTATATGAAACTGCGACATTGCGCAATTTATTGGACAGACTTGTTTAAGATCACACAGCGTAATTTGGGTGGCATTTTATTTCGTATTTTTAAATCATCTTTTTATTTTGGACAATATCTGTAAATTTAGTTTCCTGCTCTTAATTGGGAATACATACTTGATGGTTTTAAATGCTCCTGAAATTAAGTGCTGCTTGACCAGCCTATATTGTGTATGTATGTGACGTCACTGAAGGCCTAAGGTTGAAATGCGCGGCCCGCCACTGCGTAATTTACATGGCACGTTTCCTGCACTGATTACAACCTGCTTGCATTCATTTGGTCACCTCTGAACCACTTCACCATTGCTCTGGCTTGATAACGCGAAGAACTCATGAGTTATCCATCCTCGTTACTTCTTCTCCCCGTAGCCTCATTCTTCTCCTTCCGCCCTTCTCATTCATAGAAACATTCTGTTTTACGTACTTAGGTTAATCTTCATTCTTCTCCTGTCTTGGACATGCCTTCGCCATTCTAAATGTTCCTCCATCTGCTCTCTGCATTCACTGCAGAACATAATGTCATCTACAAGTGGCATGGTCTGTGGAGATTCCAGTCTCGCCTCATCTGTTAGTTTGTCCTTCACTGCTGCAAAGAGGAAGTGAACCAATGGAGTCCCTCCTCCAACTTAAACTCCTCTGGGACAACTACAGTGCATCTCACTTCTGTTCTACTGCTTCTATACACGTCCTGTAATATTCTACCAAACTTCCCTGTCATTCCAGTCCTCCTCATTTAGTAAGACAGTTTCTCTCTGGGTACCCAATCATAAGACTTTTTCTAGATCTCCATAGACACAATCTAGCTCCTTCTGACCTTCTCTGTCTGGCTTCTCCATCAACACTGTCAAGACAAATAATGGATCTGCGATACTGTTTCTTGGCATGAAACCATAGTTTTGCTCAGAAATAAATCAAGATGGCACCAACTTTCGGTGCAGCAGCTTCTCAAGTTCCCACGATTAAGCTGCTTAACAATGACTTTGAAGCCAATTTTTTGTGTGATAACCATGCTAAAACTGTGTGTGAAGTATAGCTTGAATTAACTCTACCAATTTGAATGGATTTCAATGACAACGATTCCATCTCCTTTGGAAAGAACTCTATCTTGAAAACTGTGTATTGAACCTATCCTATTCTAACCATTGTCTTTGGTGCTTTTTCACACTACTCCAGTGGTTCTTAACCTTGTTAGAGGTACCAAACCCAACCAGTTCACATGCACGTTCACCGAACCCTTCATTCATTAATTTTTTGTCATGCTTTATCCTCACTAGGGTCACGAGGGGTGCTGGAGCCGATCTCAGCTGTCTTCGGGCAGGAGGCGGGGGACACCCTGAGCCGGTTGCCAGCCAATTGCAGGGCACACAGAAACGAAAAACCACTCGCACTAACACCCACACTTAGGAAGAATTTGGAGTGTTCAATCAGCCTGCCATGCATGTTTTTGGAATATGGGAGGAAACCGGAGGACCTGGAGAAAACCCACGCAAGCACGGGGAGAACATGCCAACTCCACACAGGAAGGCCAGAGCTTTCTGTGCTAACCACTCGACTACCAGGCCGCCCACCCTTCATGAGTGAAAAATAAAAATATGATTTTTTTTTTTTTTTTTTTTACAAATTCAAGACTTTTAAAAAACACATTTAGCAAAAACTGAAAAAAGTAATTAAAATTACATGGCATAAGTATAGTTTTTTTAATTGTATGACATACTGAGGGAACTAAATTTCCCGCAGCAATGATTTGACAAGCAATGTAATGTGAGCATCTGCAGCCAGCGATGGCCAAGCGGGTGTGTCATAACTAATTGACAACTTGAATCGGGTGTGTCTTAAGCTCCATGGCAGAGGCTCCATCGAACCCCTGAGACCAATTCACCGAACCCCTGGTGTTTGATCGAACCCAGGTTAAGGACCATTGCACTACTCCATGAAAGTACAGAACATTAAACCAGTTTTTGTTATCTAAAATCTAATTTAATTTAGAAGTAATTTCATGTAATTTCGACGAATATGGAATGTGGTGATAGCTAAGACTGGACTTGTGTCACTCAAACTAGGCATCAATAATTTATATATAAATATATA